AAACAGGTATTGATGATCTTACAGTTTCCCTGGGTCAGGAGTCTGGGCAGGGCTCAGCTGGGTCCTCTGCACGGGATCTCACAGGCTGCAGTCAAGGTGTCACCTGGGCTGGGTGTCACCTGGGCTGATTCTCACCTGGAACTCAGGGTCTTCTTCCCAGCTCATTTTTAGTGTAGGCAGAATCTGGTTCCTTAAGGTTGTAAGACTGAGGCCCTTTGTTCCTAGGGGCCACCCCCTCTGTAGGGAGTTCACAATACACCTTTTTGAAGGTCAGCCCAAAAGTCTCTGCTTTGAGCCTGTCTTTTCACGGAAGACCTGGTTTTCTTTCAAAGGCCTGCCTGGTTAGGTCAGGCCCACCCTGGATAACCTTCCTTCTGATTTAGTCAAAGTCAACTGATTGGGTATCTTAATTTCACCTGAAATTAAGGGGCTACATGGGGTGGGGACCCCAGGGCCATTTTATTTTATTTTTTTATTTCTTGAGACAGAGTCTCACTTTGTTGCCCTCAGTAGAGTACTGTGAAATCATAGCTCACAGCAACCTCAAACTTTTGGGTTCAATCTATCCTTTTGCCTCAGTCTCCCAGGTAGCTGGGACCACAGGTACCTGTCATATAATACCTGGCTATTTTTTTAGAGACCGGGTCTTGCTCTGGCTCAGGCTTGTCTCCAACTCCTGAGCTCAACTGATCCGCTCCTTGGCCTCCCAGAGCGCTAGGATTACAGGTGTGAGCCACCACGCCTGACCTCCCAGGACCATCTCAGAGTTCTGCCTACTTACCATACCATCTCTCCTTTGAGATCCCCCTCTGATTTCAAGGTGCACCTTCCAAGCTTAGTCCATTCCCGCTTCTTCTAAGGTGTGAACTGAGAAGTTGTTAAACGCACTCTCTCCAGCATTTACCATCTAAAAGGGAACTTCTGATGGTCTCAAGCTTCAAGACCGGAAGGGTAAAAGTAGAACGGCGGGGCAGTGGAGGAAGACATCCCCGTGGGGATGGGGCAGTCGCTTCTCCACACACTGACCATTAGGTCTCCAGAAGACACGTTCTGACAGAGCTCATCGTGTATTTCAGACTATTACATTGGTCTGCTTTTTTTTGGTAAGATTTTTTTTTAAGTTATTACAAAAATAGAGACTAGTAGAGTGTAAGCCACCATAAAATTTAAGTTATTTACACTTTGGTTTGTGTTGTCCCAAGTTTTTTATAGTGCACGTATAAAATACGTGATAAATGCGGTAAACTTCTCTGTGAACTCTGCTTCCCCCGACCCCCAGCCCTAAGCCACCATTTTGGATTATTTTTCAAGGTTAGGCTTAGAGATGAACTTGCAGGTGAAAGCACGGAACATTTTCATGGCTGTTGGTACAAGTTCCTGAATGCTTGTGCTGATTTTTACGCTGCGATCCCTGCTGCCTGTTTTGGGTTTGTTTCTTTGTCTTTTAAGAGGAGGCTGGGTCATGAGCCGGCTGCCCTGGTGAGCTCCTGAGAGCAGGGATGGGGGTATACTGCTGGGACCAGGGAACCCCAGCTCTGGACCCTACAGCAACCCCACAGCACCCTCAAGAGACGAGGAGAGGTATAGGAGCTGGGGATACAGGTTTGGTTTTGGTCCCCAATTGGTGCTCCCAGGGAGTGTGGGCACAGAAGGAACATGGGGGCAGAGCCCCGGATCCGAGTGTGCCACCAGGTTCTCCGGGCAAAGTGCCATTTCACCCGCATCCCTTCATCTGGGACCCTCCACCATAAACTGAAGGCCCATTTATCAATGGTAACCCTGTGCCAGCAGCCCTTTTAGGTGGGTTCTGTTATTATCTCCCATTTTACGGAGGAGGAAACTGAGTCCCAGAGATGCTCCTTGCCCAGGGTCACAGAACCAGAAACTCTGGCCTTTATTTCTCTGGTTTTAGTTTTTGTGAGAGCCAGACTGCTTTTCCTTCACGTTCCACCCTGCCCCCTCCATCCTCAAGTTCCTTTGTTTCATATAAAAACTAAAAGCAGACACACGCAATGCCCTCTCCCAAGCTCAGTTGGCCAAATGGGCAAAGGCAGGGAGAGGGAGGAGTCCAAGTTCTCCAGCCTGGGCCGGGGCCTTGCAGACCCTGTCCTTACAGAAAAATGATAGCCTGGGATGGGTGCCCGGGAAGCTGCCCACACAGCCCTGCAATTAGGGTTACAATAGCAACAGCGGTGTTGGAATATTTTCTGTCTCACAGGGAGGGCACCCCCTTCAGCTTCCCAGAGCAGCATGTGTAAACGATTAAACCGGTTTGTTTTCTCTAGAGCACTCAGGAGGAAGTGACACTGACATCCCCATGGTACGATGGCAGGGCCAGGGCCTCCGTGGGAACGGCCCTGGCTTTTTCCAACACTGGTGTCCCTGGGGCTGGCCTTCCAGGCCCCCGCCCGGCGTGAGCACATCTGCGCAGGCAGCCCTGAGGTTCTTCATGGTGCCCTCTCCTTTGATGGAAAAATAGGAGAGCAGGACGTGCCTCCAACCAGCTCTGGAGCACTAACTGGGGGCCTGGGAAGCGGGGGCTGTCCACTCACTCACTCCCAGGGTAGCACTTCCAGGGAGGACAGAGGCCTGTCTTCCTGGCTGCCCATGAGGATGCCACTCTGGGCCCACATGGGCCCGCCTGTCGTTAATACAAATCCCCCAGGTGGGGAAAGGGGGCAAGTTCTGTGCCAGGGAGGATGCTGCTTAGGCCAGGATGGCCCTCAGCTCTTGTCTAGGTGGAAGGACAGGCCAAACATCCTCTGGAAGCTTCCACCACACAGGGCCTGTGTCAGGGTCTCTTCCCCCGGGGCCTTCCTTGTGTCTAAGCCAAAATCCCACCTCCAACCTCCCCATCTCCCTCAGCCCATCACCTTGTCACCAACTCCTGTCCTTGCTGCCCCTAAGACAGCTGGAAGTAGGTGACCCCGTGTACCCTCTCTGTCCTTCTCACATTCAGGCCACTGCCCCTCCCACCTGGACACCTGTTTCAGCCTCCATGGGCCCTCTCTGTGTCTACTCCTAGCCCACAGTTCCTCCTCCACATGGAGGCCGGCAACCACGCCATCTCCCAAAGCAAATCCCTCCATTGCTCCCCACAAATGGGATGACATCCCAACTTCTAGTCCTGGCCACCAAGCCTTGCTTCATCCTACATCAGGAAATCTGGCCTGGGACCTGCTCCCACTGGCCCAGAGAGACAGATTCTCGCCCCAGGACCTTCACACATGCTGCTCCCTCTCCCTTTGTCTGGTGAACTCTTCCTCCTTCTGGCACACTTCTTCCAGGAAGCCTGCCCAGATGCTTCAGACGAGGTCTGGGGCGCCCTCTTACGTGCTCTCCGGGCCCTGCACACCCCCAGGCACGTGGTGTCGTAACCACTCCTTAATGTTTTGCTTCCCTGGAAGATGGTGCTTCCTTTGCAGCCAGAGACCCTGTGTCTCTCACCAGGGCCTGGGGCACGGCCAGTGTTTCACAGATTTGTTCATGAATGAACAGCAGAAGAGATCCAGAAACTGCTCACCCCGGACAGAAGACAGAATGCGTAAGAATTCTGCCTCATTTAACACCACCTGCAGCGGCACCCCACACTCTCTTGCTGGCCAGCACCCCACTGTTGCCAGGGAAGAAGCTGTCCATCCACCAAACAAGGAAGTCACACAGTGACCAGCCGGTCACCCATCCCCAGATGTGTTGACCCCCCTGCAGTTTTGAGCCAAGTCCTCCACTGGTTCAGGGCAGAGAAGGACCCTGTAAGTTTCTAAGCTGCCCTTACCCACCCTCCCACAAACTTTTGGGGCTTAAAAAATGGTTTTATTTCTTAAAAACAAAAGCTTTTGGCTTTAATACACAAAGTAAATGAGGTCCTTGGCAGGCACGCTCTGCCATCTGGCCCAGCCCCTCAGAGGGTCATGGGCTGCAGTCCCTGGTGGCTGTGGACAGAGAGGCTGCACTGGGCTGGAGGCACCTCGGCAGCCCCTCAGGCTTAAGAGTCCCTGCTGGAGGGGCCAGGAGAGCCCAAGCAGGAGGCCACTTCCTGGGTGTCAGCCCTCTTTTTTGCTGATGTCAGACCAGATGCTGGGCCAGGGCAGAGGGGCTGGGCATCAATCAGTTCACGGTGGGCACCTGGCTGTGGTGCAGGCTGAACTCCTTGGCCTTGAGACGTAGGCTGGCGATGCTGTTGGCCATGTTGACCCCGGGGGTCGCCTGGCCTGAGCCCCCAGGGCTGTAGGGTGGCACCGTGCTAGGGGCGATAGGAGACACAAGAGCACATGGGCATTCTGGTCTTTGCTCCTTGGAGCCAAGCCTCCAGTCCTGCTGCCTCCCCTCCTCAGCTTGCTCTCCCTGGGAGCCTTTACCTGGGGCTGGGGCTGGGCTGGGGCTGCAGGATTGGGGAAAAAGTCAGAAGGACCCAGGGTGGACAATGGGACAAAGGAGGATCCCATGGGACCAGGGATCCAGTAGAGCCATTCACACAGACTAGGGGGCAAATGGCACCTCTGAAGTTGTGGGGTGTCACCATACCACACTCTGAGCCTCGGTCTTCCTTCCTGCTGGGCCATGTCAGAGCCTTTCTCCAGCTCTGACCCAGACAAACCTGCCCCAGAACTTGGCTCTGGGCCCCAGCCAGGCCCGGGGGCACAGGGAGGCCATTCCCTCAGGCTTCCAACCCCATTTCTCTGCTGGAGGATGACACGTGTTCTGGGCATCTTCCTCCACTTTTGCAGCTTCCCCAGGTTGATGCCTACACGTTGCTCCCACTCCTGACAGGCCTGGAGCCACATGCACAGGGACACACATGCATGCACTCATGGTCATGTGTACACACTGGTGAGGACACACACTCACCCACACACTCTGACAATACACATGTGAACATCCACTGTGGGCACACTCATCTGAACCCCACTTTGTGGACCCAGATCCAACAGGCACCTGGATACCTTCAAGGTCCTCTCATGCTCAGAGGAGTCTGGGTCCCAATAGGCCCCTGGGATCCCTGGCTGCTCCTCTCAGCCTGAAGGCTCTCACCTATAGGGGGATGAGGCTGTCCAGGAGAGATAATCTGGGCTCAGGGTGGTGGGCCGGGGAGCCACGGGCTGCTCAATGGCGGCCTCCTGGCTGTAGGACTTGAGCAGTGAGGCGGATCGGTTGGCTAGCATGGCCCGCTCATTCCGGCGGAACTTGGCACGGCGGTTCTGGAACCACACCTGGGGACAGGACGGGGGTGGTGAGCAGGGTGCCCTGGATGTGAAGGGGACCCAAGTCTTTTTGGACCTGAGCATGTGTCTGCTGCCACCAATGCTGGGCTGGCAAGATCATCTCTCTGAGCATCAGTCTCATCATCTGTAAGACCAGGATGGTGAGTGATGCCCACTGCTGGGGACAGTGTTGGGGATAGGCCAGCAAGGGAAGGAAGGAACCAATGCATAGAGCGTGCATGGAGTAAGTGCTTCAAGCTTTAAGATGGTAACTTATGCATCAACACCTTTTATGCCAGGCACTGTTCTAAGCACCTCACAAAAATATTAACTCAGCTCGGCGCCTGTGGCTCAAGTGTCTAAGGCGCCAGCCACATACACCTAACGTGGCGGGTTCGAATCCAGCCCGGGCCCACCAAACAACAATGACGGCTGCAGCCAAAAAATGG